TGATAGTGTCGTACATATACTGGGTTAAACAAATGCACTTTACTAAAGTCAATGTCACTTGCTGCTTTAAAAAAAAAATAGGTTACCAGGAATTTAGCATGTGTAGCTTGAATAGGTGGTCTGAACTGCATTTCCATTGGACCACACCGTTCTCACACATTTAAAAGACAGGGAGATGAAGACAGCATTCTGGAGTTTGGAAGGAAGTTCATTCACAGAAATACAGCCCCAACACACAAGCTGATTAAAACTTAAATACAGCTCTGACCGGACCAACTCCAGAAAACTTTCTCTGGCAATATGGAGTAAAAATGGAGAATCAAAGTGACTGTAACAGCTTCCTTCCCACAATGGTGGGGACTCTGCACCACTTTCAATCTCCTCTCCAGACAGGGGACCTAGCAAAGATGCTGCCCTCCAACTAGCACCTGACCTTTCAGTCCCCTCCAAGGGCCAGCAAGTTGGGATGCATGACTGACCCCACCAGTCATTGGTGGCCCTTACAGAGGGTTCAACCAGGGGCAGGTGGCACAACACACCTACCCCACAGGGTTCACCTAAAGTCAACTGACTAATAAATAAAAAAGCATAAGCAATAACGTGGCACACTTGTGGCACATCACAGTGGCTCACTTTGACCAATACCACTCAGACAACGTATTTCACACCACACACACACAACTGCAAAGACGAATAGAGCAAAGTTCCACCAGACAATACCTACCTGTGCCCTGGGCTGCACCTTAACTACTTCTGTCTCTCTCCTATACTATTCTACTTTATTCTCTTTTGATTGCTGATCGTGACTCACCAAGTTGATGTCACAATCCATCAATGGGGCAGCGATGGTCTACTTTGCCTACCATCATAAGAAATGCTCTCCTCACTCTGATTTTCACTGCCATTTGACCACCGCACCTTTTTCCAGAATATGGGAATTGGAATGTGACCTCGGAATCCTTCTGAACACAGTGACCCAAGCAGCCACAAGCAATTCCTTGGAGTCAGAATCAGAAATGAAATCTATTTATTGCTATCCTTGATTTGGTCCAAAGTGCTCATTTTGTAAACACAATCATTGTTTCCTGAAGCTGTGTAGGAAAAAGTGATTTGCCCAAGGTCACAGAGCAAGACCTTGAGAGACTCCGGCTGAGTATCCACAAAACTACTTCTTTACATCCCCAGAAAGGAGACACAACTGAGATAAAACATCATAAGAACATGGAAAAACTAAAAATTTCCTATAACCACAAAAAGTCAGCTTATGTACAGGCTGTGGAACGTGGCGAAGAACTTCTTGTCGCCCACCGAAGAGAAGATAAGGAATCTGAGGTCAGTGGACGCAGCCATGCCAAGAGCTGACTCAAAGACAGGGAAAAAACTGACATTGGAGGAGTTTAAAACTATTCCTCCATTGAAACAGGCCATTGGTGTTTATCTTCTAGCACCAGGGAGAGGTCAGCCTCACGCTGACCAGCCATCTTTGTAGCTCTCCTGCTAAAGCAAGAACCCTTGTTCAAGTTCACCTCGGTGCAGGGCTAAGAGTATAAGCAAGCCCTTTTCCTAGCTTGGTGCAAAGTCAAGCTACAAAGCAAGCCCTTGAAATTTCAAACCTATTAGAGAAGAGGAGGGGGGTAAGAACCTCCTTAGGCAGAAAAGCAAAACATTAAGTAATAAGAGTCTCCACTGTGGAACTGAGTATAAATGATCTTTCACCAAAATAACTCAGACCATCATCAAATTACCACCCCTCAAGTCCAATTTGCCAGATCTTTTGCCCAATATTATAAGAAAACGTGATGAACAGACCGGGCTTAGAAAAGTTAGCTCCTATATCCATTTCTGGTCACACTTCCATCTAAAAGAGGTGAGAGAGACAGGGCCTGGGTCACATTTCAATCCAGAGACACCAATAGAAACAAAAGAAAACTAGCCCCGCCCCGCAGGACCATCATGCACTTCTGTTTCCTTTACAACAAACATGACCAGAATAACCAATTCTGTAAAAAAGGTGGGGGGAACAAAACAAAACAAAACAAAAAACAGGTCTACAAAGACAAATGATTTTCAAATTTTAGTGCTTTTAGACTGACAAGAGAACAAAATTTCAAGCAGAATAGAAAGAAGGCATCTGAGTTGTGTGTCAGAAGATTCCAGGACACACACAGAGATGTGCTGCAACATTTTTATTCCTTGCACCAAAAGAACCTGTTATCTACAACCCCAACTTGCTCTCAGATGCCCCATCCCAACCCACCAGCCCCAGTCAATCCTCCTCCATCCCTGGCTGAACTCAGGCCTACTATCTCTGGAGGCCTGCAGAGCCCCTTGGAAATTACAAATTCCGTGACCGTCCTAGGCATCGGCCTAAATAATTCAACAGAAAAAAAAAATTTTTTTAATTATGCTACTTAAAAAAAAAAAAAAAAGCTCATTCCAAATATGCCAGAATATGGCCAATCAGCCCTGAAGGATTTGGTTACTAAAAAAATAAAATCTTCCAAATGCAATGGCGATGATGGGAAATGTCAACCCTACGCCACAGAGTTAGTAAATCTTCAGAAATCCAATTTCAGAAAGCAGGATTGGGGCCAACAGTTCTTCAAGACCAGCTGGGAACTGGCTATGGGGTTCTAGGAGTCTCCTATCCTTGCCCCATGTGACCCACCCAAAGTCCCACCCTACAAATGCTACTGATGGACTTCTTTTAGAGAGAAAAATTACAACTTTTTTTGTGGGGGGTGTTGGGGAAAAGGGCTCAAAATTCCCAGCAAGTTCAATTTATCACAAATTACCCTTTCTCTTTGGATAGGAACCTTATTTTTTTATCTGTCAAATTTCAATTCAGTCAATATTTGTCATCTAAAAAAAAAAATTTTTTTTTCTTTTTTGTTTCACCTTCACTTGATTCATTTTAAGGCCAAAAACTCCACATGATATACTGTTTGCACTGATGCTTTTCTATTCCAAAGGCACATTCCTTTGGGTTTGGCTTTTGTATGTATTGTGATTTTTATTTTCCTTTTTTAAAAAAAATAATAATTTTGCTGCTAGCATCAGCTCAATTGGTGTTTTAACCTAATTCTTCAGCAAAGTGTCCTACCATGGAAGATGAACAAGAATCAGAATTTTCATCTCTCAGTCCTTCCCTCTTGATAAAAAGATATATATATTTTTTGTTTAGTCAGTAAAATTTGTGCTTTTTTTTTTCACAACACCCCCCTCAAAATGATCAAAGCTAATGGATTTCTTCCCCCTCTGAAAGTAATCAAATTTCTGAAAAATACCAAATGCTAATCAACTACCAACCCCACATTACAATCAAAGAGGCCAGAAACCAATCTGGATTTTTTTTTAATAATAAATTTTTCAAATTGAAAGAGTGAACAGCATAGAAAAGGAAAATTTTCTTTCTTACCAAGGATTCCTCAATCCTTGTCTCCATCAATTGATTCAGTTGCATGTCATAAAAAATGGGCTTCTGTGAATCTACTGTTAGTTTTTTCATAATAATGTTAATTATGCATATCTTATTTTAATGGCGGTCTCTCCTACAAATCTGTGGGCTACTCAATTTGTATAATATATGAATTTACATTTTTTTTCCACTGAATATTGCTCAATAAAGGTTCCTGACATTTTCTGGATAAAACAACAACATAAAAGAAATGGCTAGACCTTTCAGGAAACAAAATCAGAAAACAGTCTTAATTATTCCATCAAAACAAAAAAACACACACAAAACCCAACAAATACAGAAAAAAGAAAGATAGGTTTTTCACTCTTTTACAGTTTCTGGGTTTTCTTTCTTTCTCTTTTTAAAAAAAAAATCTTAGGATTTAAATGCAGTAAAATGTAAATGCAAAATTTAAAAAAAAAAAAAACTACAATTTTTGGGTGTGTCCAAAGCCAACATTTTAGGGTCTATTTTCTCTTTTAAATCCTTCTCTCATGAAAATAGAAAAATTTAAATATTGTCAAATGGTAAAATTAGTCATTTTTGCCCGCTGAGCTAAACAAGTTCCAAATTACAATGAAGTACGATTTCTAATTGCTTCATAAAGCCAATTCTCCCAGTTTTCCCTCAACTCAACAATTTCCCTCCTTCCCTCATTCCAATTAGTTTTTTTCTCAAACTAAAATTCGTTGGGTAGTCAAACTGACTTTGCTTTTAGAAGGTTTTTTGCTTTCTCCCTTCAAGAACTGAATTCATTCAAATTCTAGCTTAATTTCCATTTACATATTATCTGGATTTGGCTTCAGAAATAAAAATTGTCTCCATGCCCCTGCCAGAATCAAAGTGAAAATTTTCATCCCCAAAAAGAAATAAAAAGAATCCCTTTCCCCTCCACTGCCTTGTAGAGCAAACTTTTGAAAAAATAAGAAATAAAAAATATTTCTTTTCAATTTTAATTTCTTTTTTTTTATTTACAAAATAGTATCCTCTAGGTGGCGTCGTTTTAATGGGAAAAAACTACCGTTTGAAGAAAAATTAGAAAAAAAAAAATTGAGAAAGGGAAATATGGCCTAAAAAAAAAAAAAAAAAAGATTGTTACAAAGATGGGGGGCCTGGAGGACGAGATCTCCAGGGGGGGTCATCAGGGACCCCGCGCTGGGAAGGTCAGGGGGAAATTGCAAATTTGGGGGGGAGGGGGAAGAGCTGGAAGGGGTTGCATTTTTGCAAAATGTGAATTGTCCAAACTGAAATGGCTGCTCTGTTCTCTCGCCGCTTTGTTTTCTGGGCTCCGGTCCGAGCCCGGGGCTGGAGGGGGCGCCGGGTGGGGGCCCCCAAAGGCCCCCTCACCACCCCCGCCCTCCTCACGCCCCGCAGCGCCCGGGGGGGCTCTCCGGACCCCGGCCCTCCGGTTTGCACCCACAAAAAGCCCGCAAACGTGCCCAGGCACTTTGCATCCTGCAACCCCGGCGCTCAAGTGGCGCAGCGCCCCGGGCCCCGGCCCCCGGGGTCCCCCGCGCGGAGCCTGCCCCCGGCCCCCTCGTACCTGCGGAGCCGCCGCGCCGCCCGGCTGGTTCATGGGTCCGTGCGGGAGGAGGCGGCCCCGGCGCGTCCTGCTCCTCCCGGGCCGGGCTGCTGGTGCGCGCACAATGCCAGAGCCGCCGCCGCCGCCGCCGCCGCCGCTCCCTCCTCCGCCCGCCCCGCTCCGGCCGGGGGGGCGGGGGCGCAGGGGCGCACGGGGGGGGCGCCGGCCCTCGCCCCCACCCCCGGCCCGCCCGGCCCGCGCGCCGCCCCCGCCGCCCCGCCGCCCCCGCGGGGCCGCCGCAGCCCCCACGCCCCGCCGCCCCCGGCCGGCCTCGCCGCGCGGCCCGCGAGCTCCGGGCCTCGGCCTCGGCCTCCGCGCCGCCGGCCTCCGCGCCGCACACAAAGCCGGCCGGCCGGGCGCGCCCGCCGCCAGCCCCCGCCGCCGCGCGCCCGCCCCCCAAACTTTCCCGCGCCGCGCCCCCCACGCGCGCCCCCCGCTCCCCGCTGCCCTCCCCGGGTCCAACAGCCCCTCGGAAACGTCATTTTCGGGTGGGAGAAAAAAGTTTGGGGAGCCGGCTCTGGGCGGAACGCGAGGGGTTAACGGGAACTCTGTGCCCCCTCCCCACCCCACCCCCCAAAATCAGATGGGCTTTTAAAATAAAAGTTTCCAGAGCGGGCCTGCTGCAGGGCTGGGGGCTCGCTGGGAATATTCCCAGGCCCCACCGCCCCGGCCAGGAACCTCGGGGACGGGAATAAAAGTTTGAAGAAGTGCCCCAGGTTGAGATAAGAGGGGTGCAGGGCCCGCTCTCTAGCCCCCCAATCAGGATGACTTTAAGAATAAAAATCCAGGCGTTGCTTTCATGTGAAATGCCCGTGAACCAACTAGTTCTACCTACCCCTGCCAGATTTTTTTTTAAATCATATATTTTTTTGAAGTTTAAAAAACTGGCCCTATTGTAAGACGAGAGGGGTTCGAAGGTGGAGAAGGGGGAGCCCCTTCCCCAATATTCCCCATCCCATTGGTATAGAAGAGAAAAACTTGGAAAAGTGCTTCTATGTCAACCTTTTAGGTGAAGGAGGACCTATCTTTTCGACATCCGAAAAAATCAGATTTTTTTTTTTTTTAATTGGTGAAACTGCCTCCTAATGATTTAGGGAGGCTTAAAGAGATTTTCTGTTTTTCTGTCCTCTTCTCCTTCCCCCCAAAATCAGATTTTTAAAAAATGTAAATTATGAAGGGCCTGCCCTAGGTAGAGACCAGGGTTACTGGATCCTTCCTACACCTCGCACAACTGATTGAATTTTAGGAAGAAAGTGGAGGAATTGCTCATCTAGGAGACAAGGAATCAACCAAAAATCTGTCTTTACCCTTCCTCAAGAGAAAACAATAAGCATACTTTTTAAAAATAAAAACATCAGAAACTAAGAGTAAACAGGTGTCTTTTCTCTATCCCCCACCTTAAAAAAAAATCAAATGTTCTTTTTTCATGTTTAAACAACTAGATCAGTATGAGACAGGAAGGGTTACAGAACTGTTTCCCCTACAACTCCGCTCCCCAAGGTTATTGTTTGGTAAGTACCCCTCTCCCAGAAGAATTCATGTGTGGGAATTGGGCCCAACTTGGGAGGAATGGAATTAAGAAACACAACTCTCACACCCCTGCCAACAAACACCAGCGCCCCCCCACACACACACACAAACACACACACACACACACACAAGCAGTTGAGAAGAATCGTCTAACCACTTCCCCAAACCGCCTCCCCCCCAAAAAAAGTTGGAGATTCGTCAAAAATAAAAAGTGGCCGTTTCTCTTCCCACCAGCCTGGCAAGCATGTCCCTGGCAGAGATGCGGCAGCCTCTGCCAAGCCTAGTGTGGATTAGGCGTTGAGGGGCGCAGGCAGCCTGAGGAGTGTGGCAGAGTTGGGCGCCCAGGAGCCCTGGGCCTAAGTGCTGCCAGATAGCCCCTCCCTGCCTGCCTCTCATCCACCAGGGCTGGGGGCCTTGATGCCTGGGGAGATGTCCTGATTCCATCAGGGCAGGCTCCTTCTTCTGCCTAAGCCAAGCCTGAAACTTAGGAGTAGAGAGGAACTGGACCCAAAATAACACACAGTGCCTCAGTCACCATGGCCAAGAGCTGTAGAGAGGGTACCAAGGGAAAAAAATCCCACCCTGGGAGTCAGGAAAACTTAACGCAATAAATATTCTTTGAGCACTTAGTATGTGCCAGAGTGTGGTATCCAGTAGGGCGGACACACTGTAAAGAACACAGCAGCATGCAGTAGCCCTTCTAAACCTGAGCCATCCACGGATGACCAGGAGGATCTGCTGGTCCCACCCAGCAGTTTCTAATTTGTTTGGTCTGGGTTAGGGACCTAGAATCTGGATGTCTGACAAATTCCCTGGTGATGCTGCTGGTTCGAGGACTACCCTCTGTAAACCACTGCGATACACCAGCCACAGAAAACAGTACAGCTGAGGGAGGAAGAGGAAGGAGTCCACCCACCCAGGGGGTCAGCGAAGAGTCCAAGAAGAATAACACTCTGCAAGACTTAGAGAGACGGCAGGGTCTCTGTACAGCAGGGATTCTTAGACAAGGTCCTTGGATAGATTTGATAGCCCATAAACACCCTTCAGCAAATTAGCGTCTACCTGTGCATTTGGGGGAGAACATCTCTGATTTTCACCAGTTTCTCGAGAGGGTTCAGTCCTCAAAAGGGTTTCTCAAAAGGCCCCTAACCTGGAATGATCTGCAGCCTGTCTCCAGTCACATCAGGCCAGTAAAATCGGATGATCCTTCTCAGCCATGGCTTTCTGGATCATTGCAAGTGCTTTCTGCAAGTCCCATTGCCGTGGGCTATGCCTGCTCAGTGACGGAACAGGCTTCAGCCTTGGCCCAATGACCACTGGAAGGCCGAAACTCACACTGTTCCATCGGTAGTCCAGTAGGGTCCTCCAGAGTCTCTTCTAACTTTTGAGGGTCTGTGGTTCGATTTGGCATACCTGGGTTTGTCAAATTCTGGAAACTTCAGAGCCTTCCACACCCAGCCCGCTACCCCCAGCACCTACACAGCATCATTTTTGAGAACCCAGCCTGTGGAGTCAAACGAGGGTTCAGCCGTGGCTCTGGTCTCCCTCTGTGATTCAAGTGACAGCTTCTCCTCACCTCCACTTCCTCGTCTGTGATATGGTGTTGACGGCACTTCCTGCCTCACAGGGGTGCACTGAAGATTAAGTGAGGACCGCGTGCTAAGTCTCTAGAAAGTGTCTCGCACAGAGAGAGCACTCCATACCTGTCAGCCAGCAGAACGCTGCCTCTCACTAGCTGTGTGATCCTGGCCTCCTGGCTTCATCTCTGAACCTAAAATCTGCCAGTCTCATCAGCTCTCCCAGTTGTAGTCAGTGGAAATAAAATCACACTAAACTAAACAAGAAAAGAAACAAGAAAGATGGTATTTTATTAAGTCAGGGGGTAGATCCTGAGAGGCACTGCCGAGGGGAGGGAAGGGTGTGGTGGCTGGGCAGACCTCTATGGGCACTCATTAGGGTCAGGGACGGAAGGTGCCAGAGCCTGACACACAGACCCACTTCAAATCTGGCATCACCAGGGGAAACCAGGGTTGAGGACGCTGATGTCCTCGGGGTGAGGAGCAGATGTCAAGCCTGTGTCACAGGCAGGTGGGTTGGGAGACTGAGTTGCCCCCAAAGAGGCCACACCTGGGGTCTTAGCTAAAATCTGGCGGTGCACTTTGTTAGAAAAGATGGGCTTAAAGTGAAACGGGAGGCTTCATGGTGTGGGACAGATTGAAAGCTGGGACTTTGCAACACAGTGTCTTCTGTGAGCTAAGAGGTTTTCATTTTTTAGACTAAAAAAAAATGAGAGAAGTGCTCTTTTTCAACAGCCCTGCCAAGGAAACCAGGGCCCCCCAAACTTCACACAATCCTGTCAATCCTAAGAGATTCCGTAGCAGGATTTTCTCACCTCTATAAGGCGAACAGAGGAGGTACACTCACCCCCATTTTAAGGGCGAGAAATTTGAGGCTTAAGGCCCTGGGCCAAACCAGTAAGTGGCAGCCCAACTGCCCCCCCCCCGGGTCCCCCCCCCCCCCCCCCCCGCCCCGGGGTCCCAGCTGCCTCCATGAAACTTTCTAGTGATCGTAATAAAAATCAATCGATTCGTCACATCATTTTTGCTCAAGAATTTCTTTCTTTCCCTCCCTCTCCTTCCCTATTTCACAAAGGGAGACACTGGGAAAGGGCCAGATCAACCAAAGCAATTTATTTCCCTAAGAGGGGAGAATCCCTGCCAATCAGGGGGAAATCTGTGGAGAGGCAGGGACCTGAGGCCTGGGAGGTCTCTCAGGAAAGTGAGCCCAGGAGGACACGTCAGAAGGAAGGAGGAAGCCAGGCTGGAGACCTGCAGACAGAAGGGGCAGTCGAGCTGGAGTCCAGACCAGGCACCAGAATGAGGCCTGCTCTGAGCAGCTGCCCGGGGCTCAGCCACACAGGCCTGTCTAAAAGGCATGGTGTGTTTCAAGGACCCCCTTCCCACGCAGGCTGCTATCCTGTGAAGCCCAACCAACGTCCAGCATCCTGGGGACAATCTCCTCTAGGATCTGCAGTTAGACCTTGTAGGTCACTCCCCCAACAGTCACCAGATTTTGCCTCAGTTTTCTTATCTGGGAAAAAGAAGGTGCCCACCCTTACATAAGGCTCAATTCATGTTATGCACTGTGCACAGTGTATTCCCAGCCGTCTCCACTTTCACATACCTAAAGAAATCTGGGTCCCAGGTAGGGTGGGGTGGCGTCACCTCCGTGAGCAGGGATAGCCAGCCACAAAGGGAACGAACGAAGTCAGCTCTGAGGGCAGCTGCCCATGTCCAGCAGCCGTTCCCTCACTATGGCAGTTACCCTGATTCTAGTTCTGCTGAGACCAGAGGTGGGCCCAGGACCTGGGGAAGAAGGAAGAGCCATGAAGATGGCAGGGGCTGCTCCAGGATGATTTCTCCCACGTCATCTGCAGGCCCCCCAAAGAGGCTTCAGTCTACTCTCTCTGCTTTGGGACACACGTGAGTGGATTAGCTGACAGTATGGCATGGGATGCGATTCAGGCTCTGTTCA